ACATACATAATCATTAGCATACATACATACATACATACAGTATCCATACATACTAACATACATACATAACATACATACATACATACATACACTACATACATAAGCATACATACATACATACATACATACATACATACATACAACACAGCACACATACACACACAACACACACACACACACATCACACACACACACCCCATCATCCATCATTCCATCCATCCATCCATCCATCCATTCCACTCATCCATCCATCCATCCATCGCATCCATCGATCCATCCATCCATACCATCCATCCATCCATGCGCATCCATCCATCCATGCATTCCATCCATCCATCCATCCATCCATCCATTCCATCCATCCATCCATCCATCCATCGCATCCATCCTCCATCATCCATCCATCCATCCATCCATCCATCCATCCATCCATCCATCCAGTCATCCTGCCATCCATCCCATCCATCCATCCATTCCCATCATCCATCCATCCATCCATCCATCCATCCATCCATCCATCCATCCATCATCCATCCATCCATCCATCATCCTCATCCATCCATCATCCATCCATCATCCATCCATCCATCCATCCATCCATCCAATCCATCCATCCATCCATCCATCCATCCATCCATCCATCATCCATCCATCCATCCATCGCATCCATCCATCATCCATCCATCCATCCATCCATCCATCCATCCATCCATCCATCCATCCATCCATTCCGCCGAAATAACCTCTCAGAAATAACACGATGTCTACCCATGTTTCCCTACTAAAGAACTGACACGAAGTTTTACGTACTGCTGGAGAAGATTGTAATGACAAGGTAGGCGACCATCTGTCCGAACGGTAACCCTGTCCTCGGCTGGTCGGGCGAGACGGTCTGTAGAACTGTTACTGACCGATGTGCTGTTCATCTTAGCAGTGTACCTACATACAGGCAACTCGCACGGATGCACGAACGCACGATCTGCCCGAAGTCTCAACACCCGAGTCACGACTGCTGGCGCTGCTATCAATCTCGACGGTGGGCGGCGATGACTGTGACGGCGACGATGACGACGGTGATGACGGACGATGAGCATGATACGGCAGTAGTTGTAAATGCGTGCGCATGACAGCCGCTGTTTCAGAACGTGCGCTTTTCTGCTGTGTGCGCAGATCTCGGAACGAAGTCTTCTAGGTAAAGCCAATATTCTAACTAGAGGAAATCGGTCTGGATGCATCGGAGGCTCGAGAAACATAAACCAACCCGCCACATGTTCAGTGAGTGTGTGGCTAAGAAGGCTGTGGTTAAGTAACGTTCAATTGTTTCTCTGCTCTTTGATTATACCAAAGACCCTATATAGTATATATATATATATATATATATATATATATATATATATATATATTATAGAGAGAGAGAGAGAGAGAGAGAGAGAGAGAGAGAGAGAGAGAGAGGAGAAGAGAGAAGAGGAAGAGAGAGAGAGAGAGAGAGAGAGAGAGAGAGAGAGGGAGAGAGAGAGAGAGAGAGAGAGAGAGAGAGAGAGAGAGAGAGAGAGAGAGAGAGAGGTCTTTGATTATACTAGTCATGAAAATATTTGAGTTACTGTAAATATGATTATTCTTTTGCAAAAATATTCTTTTGCAGTTGGTCAAGCAGGCTGTATGTGGTCAGCAGTGTCTTTGGCCTGCTAAGTATAAGCATGATTACTGGTCAAACAAGTCAATGAAACCTATAGCTCAAGAAGGCGCATCTGCCTGGGCGGGCGCGGTGGGGATCAGTCAGCTAGCATGCAAAACACGTCGCATGTTGGGTTGAGAGACGGGAGGCTGGCGCCCCGCAGCGCGATAGCCTTCACAGCTGCATCTAGCAACGCGGTTACAGTAAACGAAAAGGTTTAGCATCAAAGTAGACGCCGAGTAAACGCTGTTCAAGGTAACCGTTGCCACGGTAACCGTCGTGCAGAAAGAAGCCTCTAAATAATTAATGTATCGTTTATGTGCGTTCGTGACTGCATTTATGTGTGCGAGAGACGAAGGCCTACTACACAAAATAACTTTATATATGTGTAATAAACGGTGCGGTGCGAATTTTACGCGCACGTGTCCGTATGCGTGCGAGTGCGTGCTCGTGTTGCCGTGCGCGCTCGTGCGTGTGCGCGTGCGTGTGCGTGTATTAAACATTGATTGGGCCGATTTATCTGCGGGGATTCGGCCAAAATTTGGTTGATAAAAAATCTAGAGCCATAACTTCGTAACAAATATCACTCATAGTCAACCGGATGTCCTGAAGAATACAAGAGAATATAATTATACAAATATTAACTAATTAAATATTATGAAAAAAAAATTTTGCCTACGCTTTTCTACTGCAACCCACAACAACAGTGCTGATCTGCCATTTAGCTCATTTTAGGCTCTGTTCTTCTTCAGGTCGTTTCCGTAATTCTAGTCGGTCGATATATGACTTCGTTGCGCTACCTATCAGGAGAAAGCATTGCTACTGTAACATTGGTAGGTACGTTGTGCGTAATAGTAACATACACTAATGCGCCTGCTAGACCAGGCCGCGCGTGTAATAGCTTGAATCTCTTGTGAGTTGTCACGTCCATATACCGAGCCCCGCGTTATTAAGCACTGCATTGGATTACTCGCTATTAAACGCTTACATTGCGACGCTGCGGCTAGCTTTACTATTTTCTGATATGTTTCACTTTTTTGCTTTTTACTTTATTTTTCATTGAGAACATTATACGTGAGATTTCCTACACTGTGCTTATGTGTGCGTGCCTACGTACGTGCGTGCGTATGTGCGTGCATGTGTGCGCGTGTGCGTGCGTGCGTGCGTGCGTGTGTGCGTGCATTCATTGCGCGCATTGTATGTGTACCGCTTGTGAAACATAACGCAAAGTTTTGAGCTAATGAGTGAACGAGCTTACGCGTACACTCACGCACGCACGCACGTAGGCACGCACACATGCACGCACGCACGCACGCACGCACGCTCGCACATCGCCGTGACAAACCGACCAAAGACACAAACACATCAACTTCACGCACGCACCTGATCTACACGCGCGCACACACACACGCACGCACGGAACCATCTCTGTATGTATGTATGTGTGCATGTAACAGGTATCGGCGTCGTTGGCAACATTCTGGTGTTGGCTGCTGTGCTAATCTACAAACCACTGCGAAAATCCGGCAACATCTTTATCGGAGCTCTGGCCATCGCTGATCTTGTACGGTTATAAACGCGTATTTGTTTTGATGACTGTGGCGGCGGTAAATGTGAAGACGGTGATAGCATTTCATGCACTAACTCTGTGATGAATTCTATTCTTCGTATCAGTTCATACTTACTGTCCTTTGAAATTGTATTTTAATTCCGCAAACCGAATTTTTTATAGCATAATCAGCGGTTATTGTTCATACATCCCCACGAGATAAACACAATTTTTTCATCTGAAATGATACATAACTGCTAGATCAATGATCTACACCCTCTTTCCCGGGGTTGCTTACTGTAGGATTTCTCAAGGAGGAGTTGTTGACAGGGTCGAAGATTCTGTGTACGCTTACAGGCGCCGCGTGCCTGAACGTGTGTAACGCCTCGCTCTTCACACTTATGGTAATCAGTGTCAGTCGTATGTTCGCCATTTGCTACCTCAACGTCTACGGACGCGTGTTCACGTCGAGCAAATGCGTCACCATCGTCGTTGTCACCTGGTTTACCGTCTTCGTCATGAATCTGCCGGCGTACTTCTACGACAACGGTTCTGGCTTCTGGTTTGAACCCCGTTCGCAATCGTGCCTGTGGAATTGGTACGCGAGCCCGCTACACCGCCACCTGTGGGCAGCGCTCCGCGTAATGACGCCCGCAACCGTCACAGCCATCTGCTACCTGAAGATATTCATCCACGTTCACAAGAGTAAGCAGCGGGTATGTACGTCTGGAGTTGGACTCGTGCTATTTCTAGCGTCAATACGACTATAGTTAATCCCGCGCGCACGTGTGCTCGTCAACGCCATCTCAAACCTTACATTTGTCCGAATCTCTGTAATTCAATTATACCTTGCAAATTTAATTAAAAGTTTTTGCCGTGTTTATTATAAATCGTACATAACGTACACTCGCACAAGCAAAATTATCTCTGTAAGAATGCAACGTACATAACCTGTCTCCAATGTGCCTCTTATTCATTAACCACATCTGCATTAGTAGCTAAGAAGGACAGGTACGGCTATTCGCCGTCAATCTTTGGTAATAACAATAGTGACGTTTCTTGCATTCCACCCCGAAGCTACTCGGTTATTCGGCGACTCCGTAGCGAGAACGGGGGCGGGAGACGGCGGGGTAAGCATTGGCTTCCGTTCTCACCCCAGGTCGGCCAGGGCTGGCAGGCTCGCGTCCACCCGCCCCAACGACGCACCGGCCTCCTCACCGCGCGTCGACCGGAACTCGCAAACGGAAAAAAAACCTCGCACAATCTTCGTCCGTGGGTTCGGTCCCTCTTTACCCTCTGCGGCAGCCCCCCCCCTTCCTCTCCCTCCCTCAATTCCGACTTCTCTCTTTGATCACGACCACGAGCTCGGCGGCGCCACTTCTCTCTCTCTACTCTTGACTCCTCTTATGCCGACCGCACTCTAAACAGCTCCGCTCAACGCCGACCTCGGGTCTTACCGGGCGTCGCCCAACCAGGGCAGTTTCGTGCTGGCTCAGGGACCCGCTTTCCTTCGGCGGCTCGGGCGCGCGCCGCTGGGGATCCCACGCCCCCGCCCTACAACTACCCAACACCACCCACCGCCCCCCCCTCCCCCGCCGTCGCCCCCCCTGCACTCTCCTGGGGTGAGAAGCTCCCGCCGGCCTCGCCCCCGGGCTGAGGCACTCAGCTCAGCCCTCACGCCATGCAAAACACGGTCGCGTGGGTCTGGGCCTTGGCCAGCGCACGCGAGGCCCCTGAGCGCACCGGCAGGCGCCGATAGGGGGCTTCACAGCTGCATCTTAAGGCAACTCGCGCGGCTTAGCGCCAGCTCACACAGCGAAACACAGCGCTCTCCTACGCACTCCAACACGCTAGAAGCCCGGCGGCGTCACTCAAACGCCCCCCCTGGGGTCTCAACGCTAGAGCCGGTTGCCCGGGGTAACCGGCTGGCAGAAAGAAGCCCTCTAAATACTTACTATGTCACCCTCCCCCCGTCCTTCCACTGTGCGCTCCGTGACTGCATTTATGTGTGCGGAGGGAGGGACGAAGGGCCTACTACACCAAAATACTTCTATATATGCTGTTCAATACACCACGGGCGTGCGCGTCGCGACCGTTCTCTACGGCGCACGTGTCGCTCATGCGTGCGCGAGCTCCCGTGCTCGGGTGTCTGGGCCCGGTGCCGGCTGGTGGCGTGTGCGCCGGTGCGCTGGGCGCTCGTATCTAACACTTGATTGGGCCGATTTCATCGTGCCGGGACTTCGGCAAACCTTTCGTCTGCATCAACACAAACTCTACGCGCGCCCACTCACTCTCTTCGGCTCAACAACTCATCCGCACTCATAGTCAACCGGATGTCGTGAGATACAAGAGAATATAATTATACAAATTTAACTAATTTAAATATTATGAAGAAAAAATTTTGGCCTACCTTTTCTAGCTGCAGGCACCCACAACAGACAGTGCTGATTCTGCCATTTTAGCTCATTTTAGGCTGCTGGTTCTTCTTCAGTCGTTTCCGTAATTCTAAGTGCGGTCATATATGAACTTCGGTTGGCGCCTACGTATCAGGAGAAAGCATTGCTACTGTAACATTGTAGGTCGTTGTGCGGTAATAGTAACATACACTAATGGCGCCATGCTAAAGACAGGCCGGGGGCTGTAATAGCTTGAATCTCGTTGTGGAAGTGTCACGTTTTCATTACCGGAGCGCCGCCGCCGTTATTAAGCTGCATTGGATTACTCGCTATTAACGCTTACATTGCGACGCTGCGGCTAGCGTTTACTCTTTTCTGATATGTTTCACTCTTTTGCTTTTTTACTTTATTTTTCATTGAGAACATTATACGTGAGGATTTCCTACACTGGTGGCTTACCATTCATTGTGAAAAGGTGAAATTTTGTCTCGCTAACTAGTAACCTCGTCAGGTCTGACCTGAGCATTAAGAGCGGCGTTGGGGAATATAATAAATCTGAAAGTGCATTAAGTACGCCCCGGGCTAACTAGTCCCGGCCGGTAAAACATTCTATCCATTTTTCCACCCAATTGGGTCAAGCTGTTTCTGTTCAGCCTTTTCTAAGTGGTTAAGCATCTGTGATTAACCTCTATTTTGCTATCTCTCTCGAATGCTCGAAGAAAACCACGCTGGGGTCGGTGACTCAATCATATCCAAATCGCCAAGGTTTCTTAGATTTTAACTAGTTGATATACAGTCTTATCAGGTAAGATTTTAGGATACATTTAGGTAGCCGTGCCTAGGTAAGCTCCGTACTTTTATGTTAAAATTTGCAAGCAACATTTTCTAGCAAATATACACATAGAAATTGCGTAACGGGTGTCATG